TGCTAGTTTTTCTTTTCTTTTTTTAGTCAGCCTGATTACAGCTTTAATGATTTCATTAATCTTTTATAAAGAATTAGCTTTTGGTTTCATTGTTGTTGTTTTTTGACTGGTTTTCAATTTAATTGATTTTTGATTGTTTACTTTATTTCTTGTGCTTTAGTTTTGATTTCTCTTTTTATAATTTCTTAAGGTGGATATTTAGATTATTGATTTGAATCTTTTCTTCTTTTCCAATATTAGCATTTAATACTATAAATTTCCCTCTAAACTCTTTGATATACCTCATTTGCATTTTCTTTAGGTATAAAATATTTTCTGGTTTCCCTTCTGACTTTATTTTTTACTCATAAATTATCTAGAAGTTTGTTGTTTAATTCCCAGATATTTGGGAATTTTCCAAATATCTTCTTGTTACTTTGTATGATTTTTCTTTCAAATTTATCAAAGTTTGCTCTATGACCCAGATTATGGACTACCTTAGTGAACGTTCTTTGTGCATTTTAAAAAGTGTAGGATTTCATTTTATTTTTTTCTACTAATGTTAGGTGGAGTATTCTACAAATGCTATTTAGGTTAAGTTGGTTGATAGTGTTGTTTAAGCATTCTTCATCCTTGCTAATTTCTACTTACTTTTGTTCTATCAGTTATTAAGAGAGGAGTATTGAAGTCTCCATATACAATTGTGGATTTGTCTATTTTTTCTTTCAAATTTGTCAGTGTTTGCTTCATGTATCTTGACATTATATGAAGCATTCTCATTTAGGATTCTTATGTCTTCTAGGAAAACTGACCCTTTTTATCATGTTATATCTCACTTTATCCTTGGTGTAGTATTTCTTACTCTGAAGTCTACTTTGTCTGATTAATATGCCACTTGAACATTAATTTGAAAATGTTTGCATGGTATATCTTTTTCCAATCCCCCCCCTTAATCTATGTCATTATATTTAAAGTGTATTTCGAATACACAGCATAGAGTTGGATCTTGTGTTTTATTTTAATATTTTTTTAATTGATTTCAAAGAGGAAGCGGGGGTGGGGGGGCATCAGTCATCAATGATGAGAGTGAATCACTCATCAGCCGCCTCCTGCACGCCCCCTGCTGGGCACTGAACCCACAACCCAGGCATGTGTCCTGACCTGGAATTGAACTGTGACCTCCTGCTTGGTTCATAGGTTGACCCTCAACCACTGAGCAACACACCTAGGCTGGATCTTGTTTTTAAGTCCAATTTTACCATTTCATAATTGGTATGTTTAGACCATTTATATTTAATATAATTATTGATGTGGTTGAGAATTTTAGATCTACCATCTAATCATTTGTTTTGTTTGTCTTCTCTGTTTTTATTCCTCTGTTCTCTCTCTCCTGCCTTCTTTTCTCCTTCTTTGAATTACTTTTTTTAGTATGGTAATTTATTGTCCTTTTTGTTTGTATCTCCTTGTATTTTTTAATGTTTTCAGTATTACAACAAACATATATACTTTGTGTTAATATTTTGCCACTTTAATAGAATATATCCTTAACAACTATATAGGTTCCTTTAACTCTCCTTCCTTTGTGTTACAGTTTTCATGTGTATTTCATCTACGTATATTTATTTATTTATTAATATATTTTATTGATTTTTTTACAGAGGGGAAGGGAGAGGGATAGAGAGTTAGAAACATCGATCAGCTGCCTCCTGCACACCCGCACACCCCCTACTGGGGATGTGTCCGCAACCAGGGTACATGCCCTTGACTGGAATCGAACCTGGGCCCCTTTAGTCCGCAGGCCGACGCTCTATCCACTGAGCCAAACCGGTTGCAGGGGTGGGCAAACTTTTTGACTCGAGGGCCACAATGGGTTCTTAAACTGTACCGGAGGGCTGGAACAAAAGCATGGATGGAGTTTTTGTGTGAACTAATATAAATTCAAAGTAAACATCATTACATAAAAGGGTACGGTCTTTTTTTTCAATAGTTTTATTCATTTCAAACGGGCTGGATCCGGCCGCGGGCCACGGCTGGGTTAGGGCATTGACGCACATTTAAAATTCTATAAGGCAATGCTCAGATTTTTTATTTTCAATAGTCATAAAGAATTTAAAAGGACAAAAATAGTCTGTTGCACTTACTTAGGTATTTATTATTTCTATAACTTCCTCTGTTCCTATAATTCCAACTTTCCCTCTGGTATTATTTCTGTTCAGCCTTGAAGAAACTTCCATTAGCATTTCTTCTAGACCAGGTCTCTTGGCAATGAATGCTGTTAGTTTTCTTTAATCAGAGAATGCCTTTATTTCAACATTTCTGAAGGCTATTTTTTTCTGGATATAGAATTCTAGGTTGACACTTGTGTTTTGTTTTGTTTTAACAATTTAAAGATAATGTTCTGCTGTCTTTTGCCTTTTTTTTTTAAAACTATATTTTATTGATTTTCTACAGAGAGGAAGGGAGAGGGATAGAGAGTTAGAAACATCGATGAGAGAGAAACACCGATCAGCTGCCTCCTGCACACTCCCTACTGGAGATGCGCCCACAACCCAGGTACATGCCCTTGACCGGAATCGAACCTGGGACCTTTCAGTCCACAGGCCGACGCTCTATCCACTGAGCCAAACCGGCTTCGGCCTGTCTTTTGCCTTTTATGATTTTTGATGAGGAAGCTCTAATTATTTGAGTCACTCCTCTATATATGGTATTTCATTTTTCTCTGCTTTCAAGATTTTTTAACTTTGATTTTTAGTGATTTGATTATGATGTTTGGTCATGGTTTTCCTTGAGTTTACCCTTTTTTTGTGGTTAGCTGAGCTTATTAGATCTCTAAATTAATCTTTCTCCAAATTTGGAAAGTTTTGAGTCATTATTTTTCCCAAATTTTTGTCTCTTCTGGGACTCCAGTGACACACTGTTTTCCCGCCTGCCTTTAAGGCTCTGTTATTTTCTGTGTTTTTGTTGTTGTTATTGTTTTTTTTTCCTCTCTCTGTTCTTCAGATGAGATCATTTATATCTTCGCGTTCACTGACTTTTCCTTCTGTCTAATCGGCTCTTGATCCCATCCAGTGAATTTTTTATTTCGGATATTGGTGTGTGTTTTTTTCAGTTCTAAAATTTCTATTTAGTCCATTTTTATAGTTTGTATTTCACTTCTTTCAATAGTGTTTACCTTCATCTCATAGAGCACAGTTATAATAGTTGCTATAAAGTCTCTGACTGATAATTCTAACATCTGGTTCATCTTGGTTGGCATCTGTTGATTGTTTTTCCCTTGAGAATTGATCACATTTTACTGTTTCTTTGTAAGTCAAGTAATTTTGGATCATGGACATTTTGAATATTGTGTTGTGAGAGTCTGGGTCCTATTAAAATCCTCTGGAAAATTTATTTTTTTTAAAGCATACAATCAACCAGAGTAGATTCAGAATATAAGGCCTGTTTCACCTTCTTCAGGTGACAATGTCAATAAAGTCTTTAAGGCCTTGGCTGTGCTTCCTGGGGTCTGTTTCATGCACATGAGATGTTACCAGAACGTGTACCTCTTTGCACACAGTATCCAGGATCCCCTTGCTCCTGCTCCCGAGTGGAGGGTAAGGTTCCCTTTTCCAGTCCTTTCACCAGGTAGATGAGATTTCTCTCAAGTTCTTTGCTGAATATGCCATCTATAAAGTTCCTCTAATGGGTCTAACCTTGTGTCCAAGCCAGAAGAAAAGAGAGGGAAAAGAAAACAGGAAATCATCCCCATATGGCTTGCTTCTTCATGTTTTGTTTCCATAATCTGCTTGTAATATTATTTTATTAATATTTAGCCTTTATGTTTCAGAGTCACTAGATTGCTGCTTTTTGTATTTTGTTCAGATTTTTTGGTTATAATCATGGTGAGAGATAAGCTGTGGTGGCCTTACCTAGTTCAACCACATTTTGTTTTTCAATTGGCATTTAAAAATATGGAAATGTTAATTGTAAATATCTGTGGCTTAGATAGATTATGGCCACTTTTATTTTCTTGTGGTAAAAGTTTATTCGGTATTTAAAATACCAAAATTTCTAAGTGAAGAAGCTTGCTAATATTAAATGTGGAAGAACGTAAAGCATCTCTTTTGGACAAACAAAACGTAATGATCATTTCTGTCTTTATTATTCATTTAACACAACTGATTAAAATAAAATACACACAGACATGTGCCTTTTCAAAGCAAAAGTGTTGTGAATGGCTTTGACGTATTGGTATCTATCTTGTTTTGAAATTAATAAAGAACAACTTGAACTTTTAAAACTTGTGAACTATTTGCTTGAATTAGCTACCTCTTTTCTGAAGAATGTAGAAAGTAATAAATCAAAACCTTAATTCAAATTATAAGTTATGTCTTCTAAATTCACTTTGGCTTTTACCTTAAATAACAAGTGTAATTTTGATTAATGTTTAGTGATTTCATTCACATAAAGACATACATTTAATGAGTTCATTTATATAAAGATTAATTCCTGGTTAAATCATTTAGGGAAGTATATATTTAAGTGAATTTTATCTTTAAGACATTGATATAATAGATAGGCATACTAATTAATAAATACAATAAAGCTTGACACTCCTATAAGGAAACTAGGAAGTTGTTTATTTGTGTTCATTGTGTTCTTTATTTAGAGTGACTTTTTGCAGAATCCATGTATAAAATCTGTTTTTAAATTGAAGTGGCAAACTGGACCTTAGGGTTGTACCTTTTATTGACTTTTTGTCCAAAATGTTACATAAGTAGAAAAGTATTTAACAATAAACATTTGAAATACCTTTCATCTTTATTTGTAACAAACAGTGTTTGAATCTTTGGTTCAAATTCAGTTGTCTTCCTTCCATTAACTCTGCATGGGGTTTGTGGCTTGGATTAAAGGGAGAATTGTGTTATAAAAATGACAGATTTGAATCCATTTTGAAATGGTTTAAAATTTATCATTAGGTATTAGAATTGAAAATTTTTATAATTTTTTTTAATTTACTGCCCTCTCTCCTTTTAAATTAGGTGCTCTGTGGATGTGTATAGTTTTAAATCCCCACTGCAAGTTGGAACAGAAGGCCAGTTGGCTAAAACAGCTGAAAAAGTGGAACAGTGTTGATGTCTGTCCATGGGAAGATGGAAATCATGGCAGTGAATTACCCAACTTAACCAACGCTCTGCCTCAGGGTGCAAATGTCAACCAAGGTTAGTCCACAGTAATATTCTGCTTTCTTTGTATCTAATTGTGCACATACATTTATGCCAGTAACTTACAATGAATATGGGAAAATAATTTCCCCACTTAAGAACTTATTATAACTCAAGGAATTTAATGTCTTTTGACTGTGAATATATGTTTTAATTTTTTTCTGAGACCATTGTGTGCTTTTCTTCATATTCTCAGAATACAGAAGGATGTAATACTTATATGTATTAGTATGGGTTATTTACAGTTATGTAAAACTAGAGGTGGGGTCCCTCAGCCTGGCTATGACCACCAGGGGGCAGCTCCTGCATTGAGCCCTGGTGGTCAGTGCATGTCGTAGCTACTAGTCAACCGGTTGTTCAGTCGACCAGTCGTAATGGTCACTTAGGCTATTGTATGTAGAGATTATATGGTATATAAACTTGCTTATTAACTATTTAATTTGAATGTTTTTAATTTAATAAATCATGGTATAGATTGGTAATATTGAAAGGTTTGTGTTTTTGTCTCTTGGTCAATTCATATTTGGGCTACTGCATAGTCAGTTAAAAATTCTTAGTTTTAGAATATAGCAAGAATTTTATGATGGTTGGAAGGGCATGGGGTGCTGTTGGCATTTGGACTAGGAAAATTCTTCATTGTGAAGGATTGTCTAGCCTACTTATTTCTACCTACTGCAGGCTAATAGTACCCCCTACTTTGGGACAACTAACAAATGCACACAGACATTTCCAAATGTCCTCTGAAGAACCTCTGTCTTACATTTCCATCCCGTTTTGTTTGTTCGTTTTTGAGCTCCTCTATTGGATCGACCCATTTAGCTCAAGTCTTATCTTTTTTTTTTTAATCTTTCCTCTGCTTAACTATTTTTTCTCAACTACTATAGCATTTTCTCCTCTCAGAACCATATCTTAAAAGTAGTTAACAGTTACAAATAAAACTTTCATTCATTAATTCATGTCACTATTTTTGTGTGATTTTGTGCTGTTGCTGCCTTTTTCTATTTTGTTTTTGAGAAAACTTGACTCTAAAGTTATGAAAAATGCAAGATGAGAATTACATGATATCAGAAGGATCCAGAATCAAGACTGTTATTCTATGTGTGCTGGCCCCATATACAGTTGGTACTCCTGGAAAGAGATGAAAATGTGCTGAATGCAAATGTGGGTTAGCATAGTGTTCTCGGTCTCTATAAAGAAAGAATTACATGTATTACTCCACAGGGACTTGTCCAATGAAAAGGATGGAAGTTTTAGGACTTGGGAAAGATGATTGGCTGGCTCTGCTTTGTCTAGAGGTATTTGCCTTGGGAATTCAGTATTTGAAATCTGTCATGTCTTTATTGCTCATGATTTTATTTAACAACTTTGAAGAAAATACATGTACCCCTTATACCCAAATTATTTTCCAGAAGCTCAGAATTTTCAAGTTTAGCAATTCAACATCTTTTCTCTTGCATTGCTAGGAAAGGATATGCCTACACCTATATAGGCAATATCTTTAATCTTTTATTTCTTTATACTTGGAAGTTTCTCTGTTTCACTCCTTACCTGCTTTTGGGGAGCACCATCCTAACATTTTACACTTACTTTCCATTTGGTTACTTTCTCCTTGGTTAAACAGGAATATTCCATTGGCTTCAGAACACCCTTAAACAGTGGTCCCGCCTCCAGATAAAACAGTTCATTTTATTTATGGTTTGGCCTAGGGGTATGAAGTCAGGACCTAGTTTCTGAGGGCAATATTTATAGCTGTTGTGCCTAAAGGCACCAGGGCTCCTGTTTTTAGCATAATGCTCACATCCTCCAGAGGGGCTGTCAGAAGAGAGCTGAACAGGCTGCTGGGGAGAGCCTGCAGTGGCCAGCAGTGCCATTGCAGCTGGGTGTGGAGTGTACAGACAGTGGGCAGAACTGCATGTGTTGGCATATTGAAGTGAATGTGAAGGGCAAATCAGGCCCTGACTTTGCTAGCAGAGATTGATTGTTAGAATTAATTAACAGCAGCAATAACAGTATTAGAATCCACACCCTTTGAAAGAGTAGTTTGTTTGACTTTTTAAAATGTACGACAATGGTAGCCAATTTTTTATTTTTATATTTTTTGATAAAAGAACTAATTTCTCCCATTTTACCTTTCTGAATTTCTCAAGTTTTCTTCACTAACTATGCATTATTTTTTTAAATCTTTATTGTTCAGATTATTACAGTTGTTCCTCTATTTTCCCCCCATAGCTCCCCTCCACCCAGTTCCCACCCCACCCTTTGCCCTTACCCCTGCCACCCACTGTTCTCATCCATAGGTGTGCAGTTTTTGTCCAGTCTCTTCCCAAACCTCCCACCCCCACAGAGTAGTCAGTCCACTCCCTTTCTGTGCCCCTGATTCTATTGTATTCACCAGTTTATTCTACTCATCAGGTTATTTATTCACTTGATTTTTAGATTTACTTGTTGATAGATGTGTATTTGTTGTTCATAGTTTGTATCTTTACCTTTTTCTTCTTCTTCAACTTCTTAAAGGATACCTTTCTCA